ACTCTGGAAAGTCTTTGTTGGTCTGTTGCCTGGGGTTTGATATCTGTTTTATAGAAAATTAAGTTACCAATACTGGTTTTTTTCTGTCAAATGCATTTTTCAGTTCTGCTATAGTCCTATTTCTTGCCCTGACTTTCTCTTCTGGATTACAGAAAGCCCTGAAGAGTACAGATGGTTTACAATTGGCCTCTCAGTCTGTTCTGCTTGAATTCCTTAAATTGCTTGGAATTATGTAGATTTCTATACGGCTGAAATCCAGTCTCATTTTCTGCTAAGTACCTTGTTGGAGAACTACCTTAAGTGTGAAGAAAAAAGTTCTTCCTGATCAGAACCTGCAGCAGGAAATTCAACTAAATAACATGAGTGGAGTCAAAGCTTCACTGTTGATTTGCTTTCTAGATGCCATGAGTGAGTAAGAAGTTTTACAGCTTCCACATGCAAGAAGTCCATGTGGAGGCTGTAAAACTGTCAGCAATTTAGGCTGTCAGCTTTTAGGGATGCAAACTGACATTGTTTATTTGTACCTAATATCCTGTAAGAGTCTTTTTGAGATACTACATGCTACCTCAGTATAAATGCCTATTATTTACTACCTATAATTAAATGTAATTAAGAATATTAATTTAGTGTTTATGTATGCATTTAAAACCATGAAAATCTTCTGTTTAGGATGTAATTCAGGAAGAGCTTATGTCCAAAAATTTTCCAGAAGAAAATGAAGCCCATGATATCCCAGTAATTCCAACTGGAATAAGCCAATAATAATAATAATGCTCAACAACAACAACAATAATGGTGATGATGATGATGATGATGATGATGATGATGATGATAATAATAATAATAATAATAATAATAATAATAATAATAATAATAATAATAATAATAATAAAATGCCCAGTAATTCTGCCAGTGCAGTCCACCAGGTTGTCTAGGGTAAGGTGAAGATCAGGCACTGCACTTGCATTTTGGATAGTGCTGAAGTGGGAGGTTTTTAATGGTCTGCAGAGCTCAGCCAGGGGAAGGTTTCTCTGGACACTCACAACAGGTGGGCTCCTCTCACATACCAAGGCTGACATTGGGAACACTTGTTCTAAACTCCAGACCTACCCCAAACTTAACTCTACCAATAGATTCACAGGTGAAAAAACTGAATGTGTGAGTCCTGCTGACATCAGCCCACAAGGCTTGGAAAAATATAAAAACATACCTCAGTTTTCAGCTTCTCTTTCCCTAAACTCTAAAGCCTGCATTCCTTAAGATGGTGAGGAGCAATGCAATCTGATCATCACCCCAGGGAGGGCAAAATTCATATTCTGCTTTGCTTTCAAGTAGTCACAAGATGGAAGAGGTCCTTGAATCTTACTTCTCTCCAAAGAAATCAGACAAAATAAGGCTGAATATTACCAGTAGCTCCAGATGCCTGCATAGGATGTGAACTGTGATGCAGACAGTGCAGGACATCTCAGGAATATGCAGAAAGTCTAGCAAAAAAATGAGAAGGGAGTGATAATGCAGAGAGAACTGTCATTCAAACATCCAAAATTAAAGGTATGACTCAAAATCAAAACAAAGTAGACCTGTACAGGGAAGGAAAACAAGAACATAAAGGGTTTACTGCATGATTGCAAAGGAAATGAAGGAAAGTGCTGACCACAATAGCAGCAGGGCAGATATCCAAAAAGCTAAAGGAAGATATTGCTTCAGACTCCATAAAGAAAAAAATGTAACTAACCCCAGAGAGCAGAGGCAGCACACTTAAGAGGCTAAAGGGCACGGATATGGAAATTATTGGGTAACACAGCCGCAAAACTTGAGGGCTCTTTATCCTTCACTTCTGAATACTGATTAATCTCCATCAATGATATCTTTGGGCTTTTTAGAGCAAATTTTAGCCAGGAGTAACAAAAGACATGAATGGAAGCAGAAAATGGGTTAAAATATAGATTAGGCACATTAGATGTAGAACCGGCTCAATGTCTTTCTTTGATAAGATAAGGGCATATCAGAACAAAGGAAAAATAATAAATCTTATCAACCTAGACTTTGGTAAAGCATTTGATTTGGCATTACCTAGATAATTATTAGTTAAACTTGAGAAGATGAGGATTAAAATAAATACTATAAAATGATGGAGGAATAGAACTGGGAGTGAAAACTGCTGATGGGGCTGAGAGCAAAATTATAGGACTGGAATAGTCAGTAAGTCTAAGTAATGTCATTAGTTAGCTTGATGCAAAAAATTACGAGTAAAGTAATGAAATTTGCTAACAACAATATCAAATATTTATATCTTATATTTTCAATAGAGAGGAAACCCTAAAGGAAGTATTACTTAATTATCATGCCCTAATAACAGACATGGGAAGAAATGTAACTGCATATAATACAGGGACATGTACTGAGAGACTGGTAACATTTCTGCCTTAAATTAGAATTTATCCACTATGAACAACAGAAGAGGAAGAATCATGTGTATGGTGTAGTTATTAGAAAGATAAATGGAGTCCTAAATGTAGCAAGCCCTGTATTTTCAGGAACAATAAACAAATAGATACTGGGTAAAATTCAGCTGAAATTTCTGGGCATCACTCAGGTTATTGGTGTTCAGCAAGCCGGAATTCATCCTGGAACAGGTACAAAGAAGTGACATCCAGATAATCAGAGGAATAGCTAAGAGTATGTCTTGCTGAGCTTGGCAAAATGAATGGTGGGATGGGATCTGATTCCTGTAAATACATTTGAGGTTTTAGTCAGGCAGAGAGGGAGAATAAGCATCAGGGGAGAAGAAAAATTCACATTTATAGGCAGCACTCATGCTAGAGCAGATGGGCAGAAGTTGGATATGAAACAGGAAGAAGGGCTCTCACTGTGAGGGGAGTAATGGTCTCAAACAACTTCTCAGTAGGAGAAGAGGGGGCAAAACCTAACCAGTTTTTAGAGGGATACTGAGTTTGGCATTTCTCAGTCACTTTTTTTGGGACGTTCAAAGACTGCGCTGCCACCACAGGAAGAGCCACACCTGGCTTAGCAAAATCTCCCGTTGCTGCCCTGGCTTTGCTGCACGGATGGTGAGGTCCTGCTGTTTGCAGGGGAAAAGGGTTCAGCTGTGTAATCTCTGAGTCACGGTGCATTGGGTGTAGAAGATCAGGTGAGAGACTGGGTGGGGGTGGCCTTGAGAGAGTTGTCTTTAGCCTCCCTTTATGGCGACTGAGCTTTTATGTCTGCTATTGTCCCAACGACTCACACATCAGAGCTAGCGCTCCTGGGCTGATGTGAAAAACAAACATGGAGCCTCCATGGGAAAAAACGGATTCTTCCTATTGCCTGATAAAACAACAGCCGTCAGCACTCGCCAGTGTGTGCTCTGTGGCTCGGGGGCTCGGAAATCCAACAAAGGACACATTTCTCAGGGCCTCACGCAACACTGCCACTGAGACAGCCTTGACAGCCAAACCTGACCTCTAAAACTGCCTGCAGACCACCTGAAACTGCCCGTGGGGAGTGAATGCTTCCCTATCCATCTCCATGGAGCAGTAAGCACACAAATCCAGAGGAGAGTTCAGCAGCAGCACAAATTATGTACTTCCACAGCCAATTAGTGTCACAGATGGATAAGCTAATGTGTGCACTCACAGTCCCAGGCTGTGTCCCCTGCTCTCCACAAGTGCTGCTATATCCATCTGCCTGCTCATCCCCTGCCAGTTTATTTGCACCCACCAAATGGTCTTTGTAACTGTGGAGGCCACATAGATCAGTCCAAAGGCCACCAAACTGTTACAGTTTTCCTTTGTAATTAAAAGCTTCCACCTTAATTTAGAAAAAAAAAACTACACAGTTTGCAACACTTATGTATTACATAGATCAGGGATATATTCTGTGGCATGCATTAGTTGCAGAAGCCTGAGCTTCAGTGACTATGTTCCTTCCTTGGGGCCTGGCGACTCACCAGGACAGAAGAGCTTGCAACAAGCAGAGGAACAAGAAGGATGATGGCTACTCTCCACCTCCACTTTAGGTCTTCTTCTCAAGGGGAAGGTGAGTTAAAGGGAGAAGAGAATGAAGGGACATAGAGGAAGAAGCAAATCATGGTGAACAAGCAGGATACTGCTAATGTTCCTTGAACCAGAGAAAGGCTCTTGTGCCTTGGCTGTGCTCAAACTTTGCTTGCAAGTAATGCATATTCTTGCAGAATCCTCATCAGGCTTCACATGTGCCCCAGGCCCCAGCTACACCTTCCTTTTCATCAGGTCCCAGCTACACCTTCCTTTTCACCAGCTGTCCTTTTCATCAGCTGTCCTGCAAAATAATATTTTGAGAAAATATTATTTTCTCAAAGTATTATTTTGCAGGATTTTTCCCTAGTCTTTTTTGCTAAGTCCACACAGTCATTGCTATCAGGATGCACCAAATAATTGAGCCAATGGAGCTGACAGCAGGCGAGATGAACATATGTGTACCTCCAGAAACACCCACAGGCTCCTCCAGCACTGGCAGCCAGCCTCCCTCTATGAATCACAGGGTCAGGTGTCCACATCCCACAGAGCCAGGAGCCCACTGACCAGACTCTGGGCTGAGGACAGCAGATGTGGTCACTGCTGAGCCTACAGAGGCAGAAACCCTGACATGGCAGGATGAGGGGAAGCGGGAGTGCAAGAGCAGGAGAGGTGGCAAATGCAGTCCTTTGGCTCAAAAAATGAGAGAAGGATGCTTTGAAGAGGAGACAGGGTGTACTAGAAGGCTGAGAGGTAAAATGTGGTTATTTGTAGGGTGTTATGCATGATGAAACAATGTAGGAGAAAAGGACCAACACTCCTTTTTGTTCTTCCCGGCAGACAACTTGTATTTGATGTCCCATATTAAGAGCTGTGATGTAGTTCAGGGTTTATCAGCTGAATTTGGCTGCTAATGCACTCATAGCCTTTTCTTGGTGTGTTCCTAATGTGACTGAAGGATTTAAACCATTGCTCTTTGTGGGGCAGGGCAGGTGGGACCTCGAGATGTCTCTCACTGTCCCGAAGAGCCCAGCTGTCCCTCTACCACACTCTGCCCCGTTACCCACCCTACCGAAACCTTGGGTTCTGCCGGTGGGCAGGAAGGTCCCGCCCCACGAGAAGCGCAGGGTTTCCCGCTTTCCCCACGCAGGTCCCTATCCCCGTACATTTCGGAGAAGGCAGCATTTTCCCCATTCCTCCTTCCAGGGCACTGAATCCCCCCGCTCGCAGCCGAGAGGACCGGCCCGGGCAGAGCATCCGCCGGGGCCGCGGGCGGGGCCGGGGAGGAGCCGGCGCTGCCCCGGGGCCGCCGCCCGTCGCTCCCGCATCGCCGGGGGCCGGGCCGGGCGCCAGGGGCGGTGCTGGCGGCCGGGAGGGACGGAGCGAGCCCGCCGAGCCGAGCCGAGCCCCGCGGGCGGGACGCAGCCCGCAGGATGTCGCCGCTCCGCGTCTGCATCGTCGGCTCGGGGAACTGGTGAGTGCCGCAGCGCGGGGGGGCTCTCCCTTTGTCCTCCTCCTTTTTTTTCCTCACGTTTTTCCCTTTTCTTCCTCCTTCCCCCGCTCTTTCCTCGGTTTTTCCTCCCCCCGCGGCGGGCGGGGGCTCCGCAACAGGTGCGGTACGGGGAGCGGCGGGGCCGGGGGCCAGGGGAGTCTCCATGGTCCTGAAACGGCGACCCCGGCCCCGTCCTGCCGCCGTTCTGGGCTCCTGGGCAGGGACCATCGGTGCCGAGAGATGCACCGGTCAATGAGAACTGGAAAAGCATCATCCCAGGTGTGTGAACCGCTCAAAGCCTGGCGACAGAATCCAGAGAGGCCCGGAGCTGCAGCTGTCGCTGTGTGTGCCTGCTGCAGGGCCCCGGCAGTTCAAATCGAAGCATTCAGCAGTGTGAAGGGTGGTGATGCTGTTTGTGTTGCTCTGAAGGAAACGGGGCACAGGCTTCATTTAAAGCCACGAGGTATTGGCACCTTTCACTTCCATCCTCCTCAGCATGTCCTTTTGCTTCTTGGTGCGGACACAGCATTGTGTTCAGGTCTCCCATTTATCCTCATTCTTAAGAATATGTTTGCTACTGCTCGGTCCTTTCCAGCCTGGATAAAAGCATGGGTCTCCAGAGCTCCTCGAGTCTGACAGATCCCAGTAAGATCAGTAGATCCATCTCAGAGGACTTAGCATCTTACTCTTTTTATGCTTTCTGTACAATGAGCACAAACAAACAGACCAACATGCATGTGCATGCATTTGGGATTAGCAAACCTAGCCTCCAGGTTCTGGTGATTGTTTTTGTACAAGGAGAGCAAGCTCCTTGAGATTTTAAAAATACCTGACAGCTAGGTGGAAGTAATGCCAGAAGAGTCAGTAAGTGAGGGAGTGGTTGCTTGTGAGCTGCTGAGAACACAACAGAGTTAAAGCACAGCTCTCTGCCTTCCTGCCTTGTAAAAACAGCCCACTGCCTGCAATGCATTTTCTTTGTGCATGACATCTCACAGCCTTTCACATGGAATTGCACAGCCAAGTCTTCTGGACCTCATTGTCACACTTCTGGCTTTCTCTAGCCCCATCATTTGTTTCCTCAACTGCTGCTTTCACATGTTTTTTCAGGGAAAGCATCCCTCTCCCTGCCACTTTCTCTTCCCTCGCTTGCCTGTGCAGGTAACAGCTCATTGTCTCTTCCAAGCCCTCAACAGCCATGACTGCATGTTTGGAAGGCAACTTTTTTACCTTTGGTCAGCTCACAGTCACAAACTTCATCATTCCCTTGCTGCAACCTCAAGCAGGGACCTCCTGCTTTTCCCAGGCTGTCCACCTTCCCACGAGACATCATTTGAAGTCATTTAGTTGTATTCAGATCCGTATTCGAGGAAATTCCCTGGTTTTCCACATGTACCTACAAACTTGAGCTATACTACAGAGATACTGAGACCCCAGCCCATTCAATACCATCTACTTACCCATTCTGCCTGTCTGCCTGGGCCCATCTCTTGCTTCCTACCATATACACCAACTCTAAAATCCTCAGGGAGGACATAAGCATTGTGCCCTGATGTATGAGTAACATTTTTTCATAGCCTTGGTGGCAGAACAGGTTGTTTTAGTGCTACAGGGAAATACATTTACCTTTGGCAAACATTTTTTTTCCTTATGTTCCTCATAAATATTTGGCCAGCAGTTCAGATCCGTGCTCTTGAGGCTTTCCTGCAGCTCAGAATTGTGGCTGACACGTGACACAGCAATGTTGCAAAAGCTCATGTCAGCTGCAGAAGTTCAGCAGGTCACGGGGACTTGCTAAGTCAACACTGCCAGGAGGCTCATGAGTGATATGGTTGAGCAAAGCAAGTGCTGCACAGCATTTTGTGGTTGCCAGTGGGTGCAGGAGGGTTTGTGTTTATCTACTGAGAGTTGCAAGTCCCATTCAGGATTTCAGGGATTAGAGCTGGAGTCTGCATCTTTCAACAGAAAATTGTATGTTCTTGGTACTTAGCTAAAAAAGTTATTTTTATGGGTAGGATTGATGTATCAGTTCATCATCCAGGTTGTGCTGGACAACCTGAACAATAGATTTATATCTAAAGTTTATTAAAAAAAAAAACAAACCTTTTTCTTGTTAAAACATGTTCTGTGTGTGGAGCCAAAATTCATCCTCAGCTCAAGCTTTGAATGTATCCTCTATTGATAGCAGGGCAAGAGAATCAGAATATAAGCAATTTTAGAAATAATACGAAAATATGATATAACTGCATACCTTTCTTTCAAAACAGCAGAACTCTTATGGGAAAGGTTCACCCTTAAAACACTTCCCTAAATATTGTAAAGGACCAAACCAAATCATCCCTTACAAAATAAAACAAACCCCCAAAACAAAAACCACAAACCAACCAAAAAGCCTCAAACGAAGTAACTAAATTTAAAAAGCACTACAGCAGCTCAGGATATAGCATATAATCAACACTGAGTGAAGTGAAAGGTGATCTCAGCAGGATTTCTTTATCATTAAAAATTAAGACCTTAATTACCTATTAATAAGACCTTATTAGTTATTAAGCAATTTAACCTTATGCAAACCGGTTACATGAAAAATATGGGTGAACCAAGGAGGGTCAGTTACAATGCAGTTTCCCTTTGAATCATTAACAGCACAGACCTACCTGGACTTTGATATCCCCAAGAACATTATCAGTTCCAGAACACACACCACAGATAAATCCTATTCATGCTCCTTGTTACAAGTGGGCCAGAGGACAAGAGTGCTGCAACTGGAGTTTCTTTCACTCGTGTTAATGTAGTGGCCAATACTTGAGAGATTAAAGTAGCATTAAAATGGAGAGAAGAGAGCAGTAAAAATAATCACCCTCTGTCCCTAATAATTTTAAGTTCATTAAACAATATTTCTGTGAGGTTTCTAATTCTCCCTTGCCATGTGAGCATTTGCAAGGCTGCAGTGATGATGGGGGAATAAAATTATTGTCTGACCTGAAATTAAAAATGCTCAGCATGACTCAAGATGAGTAAACTGGATGGTTAAAATATCCTCAGGCTGCAAGTATTACAGGTCTTGTTACAGTGATAATTAGAACAATAAGTAAAGAGAAACCACCAGATTGAAGGGTTGTTTGTTTTTTTTTCTGATCATTTAGCTCTTATGTAAATCATTATTGTAACTGTTTGGTTATGGATAGGAAAGTGGGATGCATCTATTTTACATGAGATGCACCAAGACTGTCACAGCAAGGTTGCTCAGCACTTATTTACCACCTGGATTATTTTACATTTATTGATCTTGATAAAAACCTGAATTATCTGAGGACCATAAGAGATTTTAATCTCAGATAATGTATTTTTAGTGTTACTGATGGTACTTTTTTTCCACTGTTCTACTTCCTCTGTTCTTAAACTTGAGGGGCTCTTGATGGAGGGTAGGGGATAAAGCTTTCTGATAAATGTTGCAAGCACCTAGACAGCTTTATAGCACAGGCTTTTTATGAGTTATGATGTTTAAAGTAACTAGTGTTTTCAATTCAGAATGAAAGTACTTTTCCCCTTTTAGTTATTTTATTTTATTTTATTTTAAAGGGGATCAGCCATAGCAAGAATCATTGGCAAAAATGTCCAGAAGTCAAACAGATTTGATCCCACTGTCAAGATGTGGGTATTTGAAGAGATCATTAATGGAAGAAAACTCTCAGAAATCATCAACCAGGAACATGAAAATGTTAAATATCTGCCTGGGTATAAGATACCCCACAACGTGGTAAGTTGAAAAAAAATTAAAATAACTGAATTTGTATATATACTTTTTTTTTTTTTTTTTTAATAAGCGAGGCAATGTCTGCAAAAAAAATTAGGAAGCAATTCACTGTTTTGTTCTGGTTTGCCATCTAACTCACTCCATTATAACTCCCTGGAATATAATTCAGTTCTGTGATTTCTGCTTGTCTTGTATGTCAGGAGCAACTTCAAACACCAACTGTGTCTGTGCTGGTATCACACCATCCTCCTCCCTGGCAGAAATCAAAACAAGTCTAGAAATGGCAGGCAGACATCTGTCTACACAGAGCTATTTCAAACCCACAGCATCTTCTGGACAAACAGGCAAAGCTACTGTTCCCCTTTCTTCAGGGAAAAAAAAAAATCAAAAGCAGAGCTGTGGCTTACAAGGAGGTGAATAATGAGCTATCAGCTCATTGGTGATTTCAGGACAGCTGTAGTTAATAAAGTTCTAAATTCCATCAAAAAATAGAAGGTATTTATTTTCATGGACATTTAAAATACCAAGTTACACATCTCTACTTAAATTAATCACCTTAGATAATTTACTGCTACTGAAGCAAGCGAGGTGAGGGGGTTTGGCTGTTCAAGATTTTGCCAAATGCTGCTGCTTTGCGAGTAGTGTCACATTTTTGGAACAGTTGCAGTTGTAAAGGGAAATTAAAATGTTGCATGTGGTGGGCCTCCTTGCTTGGGGAGTGGTTATATTTAGTATTCCATTTTGTGCTGTGATTGCATATTTGCACTCCTAGTGTTTGAACTTGGCACACAGTTCTCCTGGGTTACAACTGACTTGTCACTGTTATTTTTACAACCCTCTAGCAGATTTTGTCATCATCCCTTGAGGCCAGTCTCATCCTGTTTAGAGCAAAGCCTGAGGCTTCACCAGCAAAAATCAGCTGGTTGCAGTAGAGGGACCCTCTCCAACTGTGGGAAAAAAAAAAAAAAAAGAAAAACAAGCTGAGCTTTTCCTTGCATTGCTCTGCAGAATGTTGGAGAGACAGGAGCACAGCCTGTGCAGTGCTGCCAGCCTCTGCCCTACTCCCACTTCACTGTTTTCCCAGAGAAGCAGCCTGGCTGGCAGCAGCTCTGGTTTTCTTGCTGGGAGTCCCACTTACTTAAGGCTGCATCCAAGAGTGCTGTTTGCTCCTACTGTAAACTGTTTGTAGCAGGCTCAAATTCACCTGCTGTTGCCTCTGTAGCCTGGCTGGAATTGTTGCTCTGAGTAACACCAGCATTTGGAAAAAGATACAGCTAGGCAGTTTTTAAGCATGTTGTATAGGTTTTGTAACTCGAGAAAATTACTATATATTTAAAACAAAGACACACACCCAAAGATGATGATAATCTCTGTCTTTTGATAGAGTTTATCCTTCAGTAACTCAGCTGAAGGATGGAAACTAAAGACTTTAGAAGAGCCTCTGTCCCACCACTCCATTTTTGTCCTGTGCTCCCCAGTGCTACCACTCATTCCAGAAGAATCATATGGGGTTGGTCAGCCATCTTCAGGAGTCAGATCAAGAAGCTGAACTAGCAACGGGGCTTCCCAGCACACCACAAATTTATGAAGTATATAATCTTTCCCAGATTATCCACACAGGGTTAAATTATTAAAAAATTACAAAAAAATCCAACCCCAAACAGTTCAGCTGCTTTGGATATTTCAGAAGAGATCTGTAGCTGCTTGTGTGGAGAGCTGGCAGCTGTGCCACAGGGCCAGTTAAAATGAAGGACATTTGCACTGCATTTGCCATGGCTTTGGCATGATGGTGTCTTGCAAGGAGTGAGGATTCCTACCTGGGGCTCATTTTGTTTGTCACTCTTGTCCCAGGTGGCTGTGCCAGACGTGGCTGAAGCAGCAAACGGGGCAGACATTTTAGTGTTTGTTCTGCCACATCAATTTATTGGACGGATCTGTGAGCAGATTGCAGGACAGATAAAACCTGGGACATTTGGGATATCCCTGATCAAGGTAAGTTGCTGTGTCCACAGTACCCAGCCAATATGGAGTAAATAAACAGCTCCAACTTAAGGACAGCAGCTGCAGCCCTCAACTGCATGCTCTGCATAAACATGAGAATTTCTTTCTGCAAGAGGTAAATCTTCCACAGCTCTGCCAGCCCTTCACTCTTGTGACTATGGAGAGGGAAGGATGGGGCAACCTGTCCAGGCTAAGAGTATCTGTTTTTGCCAGTCATGTTTAGCCTGGATCAGCTCCCACTTGGACCAGCATGGAGGTGAAAATGGGCAGAGGAAGGGATGCATAAAGCTGGCACTGCTGCCAGAAAAAATACTCTGAGACTACAGCCTCAGTTAACTCCTAACTGAGAACTCCAAGTCAAAGTGCCTCTTCCAAGTACATGCTAAAGCTGTTCTTGGCAGCATTGAAATGGCATAGTAACACTAATGATTTTGCAAAACTGAAGCATTTTCAATCTGGCATGAACAGAGAAATTGCTTTTTAAGGTTAGAGAGGTACCAGATTGTCATAATCTTTAAAGGAATTAATATTTTAAGAGAATGTCAAACTAAAAGCCAGAGGCAAGGCATAGGAATGTAGTCTTACCACTTCTTTGTTTGATTGCATTACAGGAAATATCCCACTTAAAGTTGTAATGAAATAAATGTAATTCAAGTTTTTGGACTTCAATACCAGTTCTTCCGCTCTATAGAAATTATCTCATAAGCAGCAGTAAGGAGAAGAGAGGAAGGGGGGAGAGGAAGGAAATTTCTGCAAATTTAGCTTAAAAACCCCAAGACACTTCAGTATACTCCTTAACACCCAAAAAGCACTTTGATTTATACTTAGATCTTGCAAAAAAGCCATTTCTTATAGACTTAGTTTTAAATGTCTTTTCCTATACTACAGAAATTTAACTGAAAGGAAAAATACAACATCAAAGAAAGCAAGCCTCAGGACAGCAGCACTTGATATGAGGCCTCTTGCAGGATTACCTTGACTGTCACCCCTTCTCCCTGAGTTTGTCTTGAATTTGCAGTTACCAAAGTACAAACCCAGAGCATTTGTATTAATGGCTAACACTGGTGATTTCAAGACCTTTTTTAAAAATTCAAACCAGAAAGCTGCAGGCAATAGAACACCTTCTGCTTTACCAGTGCTCTACTGCTGTCAATTTCCTATTCTAATACCCTGGCTTTAACTGTCTTCTTTTCAGGGGATTGATGAGGGTCCTGATGGCCTGAAGCTCATCTCTGACCTCATTCGAGAGCAGCTGAAGATAGAGATCAGTGTGCTGATGGGGGCCAACATAGCCAAAGAAGTGGCTGATGAGAAGTTCTGTGAAACCACCATTGGTAACTATTGCAAAGAGCCAATTAGAGCTGGGGTTTAAAGTCACCTGCGGCAGGATAACCTCTGGAAGAAGCAGAGGGATGTGACTGGTCCCAGGTGGTCCCTGAGTGGAGCAGTGCCTTCTGAGCTCCTTCAGGGAGCTAGGATTATTTCCAGAGAATTTGGTGCTGAAAGAATCAGATTCAAACTGACGGTGGATTTCAGTGCTGAGAGTTAATTTAATCCACTGAAAATATCACAGTTTAATTCTGTTTCTGTAGGAGTTGGCAAGAGCCACCTTTTGTGTCTGTAGAGCTCAACATGGAGTACATCAGCAGCTGATACACAATGCACTCTAGATAAAGAAGTGTAATCAGAAGCTCCTATGTGCTCACACTCCCAGAGGTGTATTTCTTCATCTTAAAATTTCTTTGTTTGGAAAAGAAAACCCAGTAACATTCTGTTCCTCTCTCCCACTTGGACTTCTTGCCAAGACACGGCCTCAGATCCTCCCAGGACTGAGTCTGACCTGATTTGGAAAGTTCATCCAGTAGTTTTTAAAACTCAGACATTTTGAAAGCCAGTCAAAATTAAAGTAACATCCTTCCATAGCTAGGAAAGGCAAAAGAAAAATAAATTGTGTTGCAAGCATGTTCTTTTGCCTTGCAAATATTATAGTAATGGTGCAAGTGTACCAGCTCGGCATTTGTTACTGAAAGAGTACCTAGGCACAAATAGGACTAGACATGATTAGGAGAGTTGAGTTATATTAATTCTCTTGGGGGGAATTTAACTTCTCCTGGCCTGGTTTGAAGCCATGATGTGATGATGACTGTGCAAAGAGCTTTCCCCTTATTTTTGTCCCCATGGAAAGCCATGCAGTCCAGAGACAGAGAGCCACCTCAAAGAGAACTGGTATGTGAAGAACAAAAAGCAAACCTAAAGTTTCTCATGAGATGGTGAGAAACCTCCCAGCTACCAGAGTGTGGTGCCCCAGGCTAGTAAAACTCACAGCTGAGCTCACCCTGAAGGAAACCAAGCTATCTTGCACAAAACTCAAGTGCAACTCTATTCAGAGGTCTTTGCCCAGCTGGTCATGGGCTCTCTGGGTCAAGGCAAACCTCAGTTTCTTTAGCACTAAGGGTTCTCCTTGGCTGAACACTGTAACAACATGATACATGACATCTGTAGAGTTGGTAGGAAAAAGGTTTTAGCAGTGCCAACCTTCAATTTCATCATCTGTGGATCCACCTGTAACTGGGACTATTACCCCTGTAACTGGGCAATAGTAATTTGTGTCCCATGATAGTACTTAGCAGTGACACAGGTTTACATTTTCAAAGCAGAAATTATACCATTGTCCTGCTGGAAGCAGTTTGTAAATAATGTCTTTTGTAAGGTCTGTGGTTGTACAAGCTTTGTCAGGCAGAAAGATTCTCTAGGGGGTATCTACCTTTAAGCCCTTTAAAGTGTCATTAAGCAATATTGATCAATGCCAAGGTGTTGCCTACACTTAACACTGGCATCCAGCAGCAGAAACTGTTGTTGCACAAATCTCTGGTTTAGCAACACCTAGGGACTGGGATCACAAAAGCTGAAGCAGTCCCTAGAACCTTATTCCAGGTGAATTGTGTGCACTCTGCAACATTGAAAAAGCTCTCTTTCATCTTTCTTTCCCACAGGATGCAAAAATGAAACTCAAGGAGAAATCTTTAAAGAATTAATGCAGACCCCCAATTTCAGGATTACTGTGGTGCTTGACACCGATACAGTGGAGCTTTGTGGAGCCTTAAAAGTGAGTGTTTTCAAGCCAGTATATTTTATTAGGACCAAATTCTAACCTCACCTGAGTCTTCTGTAAGCCATGGGGTCTAATTTGAGTCCTGTCACCATGTGAGTGAATGAGTGCAGACAAGATGCATCATTCATGAGCCAGTTTTCCAACCTGGAAAATAAACCTGGGAAATAAATTTTCCAACCTGGGAAATAAATTCCCCCAAAAAGGGGAAATTTATTTAAAATGCAGCTGCAGGCAAAGCATTTAAAAATACTTGTATTTTTATCTTTATTTTACCAGAGGCACATCTGTTTTTGAGAGCAGAGTTTAGACCACTGCATTTTCTTGTCTGCGTGTTGTGAGCACATGGAACAAAGACTCTCACTACATAGATTAGCTCCACTAATAATTATGTCCATGGTTTAAATACTAACCTGCTAGAAAATTCACATCAGAAGTGATGCTCTGTGTTGGCAGCACATCTGTGTGGCATTCAGCAATGTCCAAATGGAGATCCCAGGTGGAACCAGAAATTACATTAGAGTCACCAAATTTCCAAGGAGGGGACAATAGTGTGAGATTGAGAGTTTGCTTTTATGTGAATTGAAAGTGACTTCAGCGTGTGATCCTTTTTACTTCTTTATACATTTAGTCATTTATACTTCAATAATTCACTTTTCCATGGAGGAGGTGGATGACTGATGAGGAAAGAATTGGTCCTGTTTAACTTCACATACAAAAATAAAATCTTTTGACATACAATACCAAACACTGCAAATTTTTCTTTTGGCCACAGAGCAGAACTCTGTGGGGCAGGAACAGATGGGAGAATTTTTTACTGTTTTATGATAAATCATCCCACTTCTTAAAATCATTGGTTTGGTTTTGCCTCTGCTAAAAAAACCCTAAAAAAATTAAACATGTGCACTAGGGTACATAGATGTCTGGAGCAAACATGCCAATGGTAGCACTAAGAGGCATATTACTCATACACACTGAACTACATTTATTTAGGGACTTATTTAGGAGCTGGGAATTGGAAGGTGGGAAGGGAAGCATGCTGAACAATGGTGAGGACTTGTGAAGATGTTTATGATCCTGAGAGATTTGTTTAGAGCTGTAGACAAGGGGAGCTCTACTAATATTTGTAGGTAAGCCCAAAATTTGTTCTACTGCAGCATCTTCCTAGAATCCATGTCTGCTCAAATCAGAGACCCACAAAGAAAACCTAGAAAGGTATGACTCTGTGTGGGATATTTGAAATACTTAAACAGAAGGGTCAGCAAGATCCAACTTGGAACTAGCAGGAAAACAAAACACTAATTGCATACATGCTGTGATTGCAGTATTAGTGTATAAAACACTGCTTTGGTTTTTGCCCATGGGAGTAAAAGTAGATACTGAAAAGTCTTCTAAAATTCCAGCAACTTTTGCTCAACATTATCTGACCCGTTTCTTCATAAGATAAACTCATGGCCACTGGAAATTAACCCTTGTTCTGATGAAGACAGAGTTGTTTCCTTGGAGCTCAGTGCATGCTGGTAAGCTGCACACCTTGGCTGACTGTTTCCTTCCCTCCCCTGTGTTTTGCACTGGCCCATTTTCAGAACATCGTGGCGGTGGGCGCGGGGTTCTGCGATGGGCTGAGTTTCGGCGACAACACCAAGGCAGCAGTGATACGCCTGGGCCTCATGGAGATGGTGGCCTTTGCCAAGATGTTCTGCAAGGGACCAGTGTCAATAGCCACCTTTCTGGAAAGCTGTGGGGTGGCTGATCTCATCACCACCTGCTACGGGGGACGCAACAGGAAAGTAGCAGAAGCCTTTGCTCGCACAGGAAAAGTAAGGAGGATTTTAAATATTTTACGCTAACGCATGAAGAAGTCCTTCCATGTTTTACAAAGGCATCATTAATTGTTTACCTTCTTGATAACTGCTGGTATCACAGCAGTATCCCCTCTGACCCAAGTAATCAGTCTTCTCTCTTCCAGTCCATTGAGGAGCTGGAAAAGGAGATGCTGAATGGACAAAAGCTGCAAGGTCCTCAGACCTCAGCCGAAGTCTACAAAATTCTGAAACAGAAGGATTTGCTCCATAAGTAAGTGCTTTGAGTTTAAAAAAAACAACAAAAACAACAACAAATTATGAGTGATTTATAACCTTCTTAACTGTACTTGTGTTTAAATTATCTGTTCATTTCTGCAACAACAGCTTTCTACATTGTGGGCCCCTGCTAGAGCATGGCTTGACTCCTCATTGCCAGGGTCAGTTGAATGGGAGAAGGGCTGAGCATTGTTAGAAGAAACAAGTCACAGATAGAGAGTGGGTTCATGGGATACTGTTAGTGCCTAATACAGTAATGTGAGATCACATATTAGAACAGCAGGGAAAACAATCACAGAATATTCTGAGTTGGAAGGGACCCACAGAGATCATCACCAACCCTTAAGTGAATGGCCCATACACAGGAAACAAAAGAAATTATAATGTAAAGAAGCCTCCCAGACATCCCCATCCCCCAAATAAGATTTCAGGCTGTACATAGAATTATCTTGCAGACATGATTCATGGGCCAGAAGGTTTCTTGTTCTAGTATACCAGCATTGCAGCTTGCAGCAGTCCTGCTCTTATTGCAAACCTGAATTTGGTTATCTCAGTACAAATTTCAGGGTCATATTCCTAATCAAAGATTTTTACATGCACTGAAAAGGTAATGTGTGCTGATACCAATGCTTTAGTGCCACAAAGGTAAAAAGGTAAAGGTAAAAAAGTACCTCTAATTGCTTAGGATGATGTAAGATTATAAATAATTTGAAACCTTTGCCTCAAGTTACACAAAAAAGCTAGACTTCCCTCCATCCCATTTCCTCTCATACATCAGCAGTACTGAGAAGTCAAACACTGCTAAATGAATCCTTAAAAACTTATTAAAATTGGAACAGATACAGAAGATTGAAGCAGCAATATCTTTCAAAAATGAGAGCGAAAAGGAAAGCTCATTTTGACAGCAGGTTTAAATCACAGCTTGATCTAATAATTATCCTATAATTGCCCTTTGTTACATGCTCAGCTCCAAGTCATTCAGTGGACTCATTTTTTACCACATAATGACTAAGACAGCTTGTAAAAGGAAAAGAATCCTTTAAGCCAAGAAAAGAAAATCGTTAGACATTTCCATTTCTTTTAGTCCTTTGGATATCAGTAATGACTGCAAATAATATATCCATTTTGCACACAGCAGGAAAAGAGGATATGCAATTCAAAATTGTTTTTAAATAAAAAATACTGAATAGGTATTTTGTTTCCAAACCAGCTTTTCTGTACTGTCACACCCATTATTTGCCCCTCTTTAGCTCCTCTTCTTCGCCCAGTAGTCTTCCAGTAAAGGCAGCCCCAAGCTAAAATTATATTGTAAAGAAAGACAAAAATTTTTCCACTTTCAACTGAACAAAAAATTCTTTCCATTAAAATGGAATAAAAATTTTCATATAAACTTTAAAAACTATTTTAATTCCTATATGCTTCTTTCAGGTTTCCATTATTTACGACCATCTACAAGATCTGCTACGAGGGTCGATCAATCCAAGATTTCATCATGTGCCTGCAGAACCACCCAGAGCATATGTAGAGATCCCTTCTCCTCACCTGGCTGAATTCTCACCTTCCTGGGACTTCTGTCCACTCCACAGCAATTGAAATAGAGAAGCAGGTTGTGTGACACTTGCTGTAAAAGCAACAAAGAATGTATTTAATTCCCCTTGTCCTGGGGGTAAAAACATCTGCCTTTAATTTCAACATTATACCTAAGGAATAGGAAACAAATGTAAAACTTAACATTATTTCATTTGAGTTAGTAATGTGGGTATTTCCCTATAATTATTTTCTTGCTGACTGAAAACAGTTCCCCTTGTAATTTCTACAACAGAGCTAAATAGCTCACATAAAACTTAATGTTTTGCCTACAGTTACTTCTAGAATGGCACAACACATAGAAAAATCAAAGAACTCATTCAAACAGATAAATCATAGTTTAAAAAAAATCCAAGAGCAGTTAGATGCAATTGCATGGACAAATGCTAGATTTCTGTAATTCCCCTCAAACATAAATAACATTTTGCATTTTGGGACATTTAGGCCTTCCTTGATTTAGTTTCCCAGTAGAAGCTTCTTTGGAAAAATAGGTACTATTACTGTACTCAGACACACAAGAATGTTCATCAGATGTATAAATAAAACAGTTTAAGGGGTGGGGGAAAGGAGAAGGGGTTTGGGATGGGTGTATTGTTTGTTTCAAATCTGGGACACTAGGAACCCTCAATAGTAATCTGACCTTGATTAAATTTACTGTATTCCTTTAAAATACAGAAAAAACCATCTGAAATAACCAAAGACAATTTTGTTAGCATCAGATTTTCTCAGCAAGTCCTCACCATTAATTTGAACCAGCTGAGAGGGGGGAAGTGGAAGTTGACAGAGAGATGTACCCAGGGCTCAGCTTGCAGCTTGTGCACTTATGGTGATATTTTGAGGGGGCAACCAGTAACAGTGACAAACTCTCTGTGATACTTGACTTTTTATACCTGTATGGAGATGACCGCTATAGACGCACAGAACTCCTGTAAACTGGCATTTCACACCAGGCTGCATTCCTGGAACTCCACTGCTCCTTTCCAGACTGCAGAGTCGTGCCCTGATCCCGCTCAAGCAGCACATCTTACACTCCAGGAGAGAGATCTCCCATCTGCTTCTGAATTTTAAACACAAACTGGGTTCACACACCAGGGGTTTTTATTGTGCTACCAGTGGCGTGAATTTTAGAAACATTGAAGTTTTTTAACCTTATAGCTGTATTTGGGTAACTTTACATACCTGATGTTTTTCAGAGTTAAAAACATCTACAAAATGAACAGTGGCGCATTTTATAAGCTTTAATCCCCTTTTGAAATACTCCTATTTTGAGAGAAGGCAAAAAAAAAAAAAAAGGAAGAGTAACCTACTTTTGCTGTGCTTTATCAGATTTTCTGAAATAGCAGAGAGGAAGGCAAGTTTTTTTAAATCTATGTACTCGCTGTCATATTGCTTAGAGGAAAAAAAATGAGCTAATTATCAAATAATTTCAACTAATTTTAGAGAAATTATAGGTCTTTCACATTTACCAGAGTAATATATATATATAACAATGTATTGTAATTACAAATATATTGTAAAAAATCTCAGTCTCACAGCTAGCAAAGCTAGCTTGGGTACCAAAACCAGTGGCTGCAGCATCCCTGATCCTCCTGAACAGCAGCAAGGGTAGCTCAGCTCCTCCTGCTCAGACTCCAGGCACAGCTAACAGCTTGGGGCTCTGCAGAGCAACACCAACATTCCTGCCACTGAAATGGAAATCATGTGACCAAATCCTTCCCACAAAGCAGGGAATTTATGCTCTTCAATTTGAAGTGGAAAAGTACTTACACGTTGCACAGTTTTGAAGTATCAAATACATGAGGATGGGATAGAGAATTCAGGAACCTCCTTCCTTCACCATCAGGCTGAATTTCTGATAAGTCATGTATGAGCTAATAATAACATTGAATATTTTACATTCAAAGTGTATCAAATAACAGTTTAATAAAGTGATCAATATACAGACTTGATGTAATTTCATTTATCAACATTCTCACAAAATAAATGACTGTTGTAATAGTGCTCCTTTATTGCTCTTACTCTTGCAGTTAATCATTGTCAGCTCTCAAAGAAAAGGACAAGAAGAATTAATATTCTACAGATATTTTATTGAAGAACAGTTTTTTCTTCTGTTGCATGACATACCTTTTTTAAACAGTAAAATAAGGAAACTTTTACTCCATAAATAACACAAATTAGCCCTTATATCTCAGTCCAGCCAAAATCTGTGTAAAATAGTTAGTTCTATATTTACATTCTGTACCAAAATAGGAAACACATGTTCAAGGTCAGCCACTTCTCTCAAAACAGTTGTTTTATCTCCAAGGTAAGTTTCACATTAAAAAGGCAACATTTGCAGTTTCGAAGTCTGGTAATGTAAGATCCTGTTATTCAGTGCACAAACAGCCCCAAATCCTGCAGAGCAGTATATACATGCAGGCAGGCACCCACACATCCAAACAAGCTAAAAACAGGGCTTCAGTCTTGCAGGGAAAACACCTTGAGCTGCTCAGCTGGCTGAAAGTCACTCCTTGGAAATGTGGGGAAGGAAGGATGTACACCTCCCTCTCTACTAAATATCATCAAGCAGAAAGATGTGCAGGACAGGAAGATTTAAAAACAACTGGTCTCATAAGGGATTGTGGATATGTCTGCTCTCAGACATCAGTGTCCCCAGTTTATTAGAGCTCAGCAGAAAGAATGAGCTGTGCTGGACTGACAGTCAATTAATGGGGGATATAATTCAGTAATTAACCTACATCAAGGGCCGTGACTGTATCCCAAGACCTCAAGTCATTTCAGAAGGAATGAATTGCTGCTTTTCCAGGTGATTCCAGACAAAAGCTATCCTTCCTCCTGATAATTGCAACACTAGAAAAAATGTGTTCCTAAAAGATGACTTGCTTCAATTTCTAATTGAAATTATTTCAACTACTGGGACCAAAAAAAGACTGCAAGACTAATTTACTTCCCTAAGCAAACATGGAATATTTTAAAAAAAATTATAAAGTTAAAACTGTGGACACTATACACTGAAAATGTTTCTGTTACAGATGAGCAAACTCATGCATCTCAGCACAACTTCCAGGGCTCCTGCTGCCCAGTCTTCTCTGGTGGAAACACGAAGCTTAAATGGGCTGTATTTCCAAGTTTTCACACTTCAGAGATGCAATAGGAGGGACTGGTCATGTGTGGTCAGGACACCTAATATAGCAAACTCTGCTTTTATTTAAAAGAATTCTGAATTTTATGGCAGAAACTACACTTAAGGCTACATAACTGAGCTGCTTAAGCTACAATTTTAGCTGTGTTCTATACTCAAAAATGGCTTATGCTTCCTACTGTAGTAATTTTACTCTTAAAAACCTGAGACGTGATTTGATTTAATTGATGTTAAGATCTGGAAGTTGACAGCAGGTTAAAAGCTGAATGCAAAGACAAACAGAACTGAGGTAGTCAGCTTTACTCAAATATTCTGTATGACAGCTGCCAGTTCATTGCCACTTTAAGTTGACACATTCCCTGGCAGTTCCCACAAGGCTACAGCTGCTAGCAGCTGCTAAGCCACTGGTGGGATAGATGATGTTGCATTTTTCTGACTAAAGTACCTTCCACGCCCAACCCCCAGAGTCACGTCCAGTTCTGTGCCACCAAGAAATTACAACTGAAACCTCAGATTATTAAGGCAGTAGCAGTTTTACTTCACTGGATTCACTGATGCAGCTGCTTAGCAGGTACTGGTGAACCTGACCACAAGAGCTCTAACAGGCTGACAGATTTTTTTTCCCTTTCAATACAAAGCACTACATCCCCTTTCTTTAATTAATGCATACAATTCAGAAGTAGGTAAGTATCAACTTTCTAACCCATCTTTCAGTTAATTCCCAGGAAGAGAGATTAAAAGAAGAAAAGCCCTCAAGATAAACAACTGTGTAGATAAAAATATTCAATTAAATATGACAAATCTCACACTTAGACAAACAGGAGACCAGCATATCAAATACTGAGCACAATAAATTACACCAGTTAAAAAGTTTAACAGTTATAAAGTTAACCAGAAAGTTCAGACAGTGCAAACATTTCACAGTAAGAAAAAATAACCAGTAATTTCTTTTCAAGTATCAAAAGCATTGTTGTTGAGTGATACCATTTCAACTGCATTATTGCACAACAGACAGAAAATACAATATCAACCTCTGGGACTTAAGATGTATTCTCAAACCTTTATGTTTTCCAGATATCAGTTTACATTGACTGTTTTGTGGTTGTATTAAAATAATTAGTCATCACTTATCAATCTGAATGTTTAGTAATTCAGTTTGTACAATTTTAAAGCCTTTGAGTCCTGACTTGTATTGCTTCTCCAAGACACTGATTTAAGGCTAGCCTAGGCCTTGTGTAATTCACAGCAAGCTTAACCTGCAGTTAGGAAGGAGAACTAGCCCAGTGCAAGGTGCTCTCAACTGTGATGTCTTTAGACAGTTTAAGGTTGCACCTTACTCTCCTCAGCAGTGTCATAAGTTTCCTTAAATAAAAAAATAATAATAATAAAAAAACCCAACAAAATCAAGTCCAGTAGGCACAAAGAATTTCTTACAATCATGATGGAAGTCCTATTATTACAGTATAATTGTACCTAAAGTTTTACTCCATCTCCCTGCTTTCCATTTAGAAAAAGGATCCAGTCACTGACAATTATAATGCCACAGAACATTTAAGAAGCAGAGTTATATCATCTTTCTCCCTATATCTGCATTTTTTAGTGCAATGGGTATGTCTGCCCCCTTAAATTTAACACTTTTCCAAGAGTGAAAACTGTCCTAAAACAACAGACAGTGGATTGAACCACAAAGAGTTTCTTTACCTCTGAACAGGATTATTTGTAAACACATTATAGTCAGAAATAAATAGAAATAAGAGTCCTATAGAGCAGCTGTCCTTACCTTGACAGATTTTACTAATTTCCTTCCTCTTATATATTTTGTCATCAAGTGATTAATTTTGTAGCAAGGTGTGCCCTCATGTGGCTCAAACCACCTGATTCTCAGCTTACTAAAAATACTCAAATAATCCATTTACATGTCCAAAAAGAGTAGAGGGAAGAAAAAAAGAAAACAGATTAGGCTTTCCTTCCACATTCAATATAGTTTTTGGTCTAGAGACATCAGCATGATCCTGTAAGATTATAGCTGCCATTGCTACTGGTTTGCTCTTCAACAAGAAGTGAGAACATCTGCAGTAATATTCATACTAGTTTTGAAACAATAATGCCATTATTTGAGAAACAAATCAACAAAATAAAAAATAATCATAAATCCTATCCCAAATTTACAGTATGAGTATCAGTACTGAAATGCATTTGCCTGGCAAACTCTAGAGGATATTCAAATGTGATGTATTAAATTTCACAGAACTGGCACATGCTAAATGAAAATGGGATTTCTAGACAGTTGCACTGGTTACCAGTCTGAAATTCCATTTTGTGCATGTAGGAAGATGTAATGAACCCCAAGAATTAGCTGCTTTACCTAGCATGAATTCTGAGAGGGCTCAAAGCTGTGGAATACAGTTGTGGAGGCATCTGCCAACCACTGCTTTATCCAATTACATTCTTTCCTCCCCCATAAATTGAAATAATTAAAAAAACAAACAAACAAATTACCAGCCTCTTTAGGCCTTGGTTATCAGCAGTGATGACAACTGATTTTTACATGGCTTTTGACTAAACCACTGAGGTATATTTCCAGTTTGAGGATGCTTTGCTACCAATCACACAACAGACATAACAAAAAAACAGCCCTCAGTTCTATTACAGAAGAGTTCTCATTTCAAATCTTGACTGAGCTGCCAGGTAGTTTAAAACAGTTGGCAAAGTGGATCTTGTTACTGCGTCAAAAAAACCATAGGATGCAATTCAGGAAAATACTGGCACTTATTGAGATGACAAGGTAAATTTTCCTCCTCTCAAAATTCTACCTGCTTTTGTCAACACTTCCCTGACTACTGTGTGCAGCAATACTTGCCAGGGGAGATGAGGTTCAGCAGGAGAAAGCTGCCTGCTGAGACAGAACCTCCGTGCTCCACAGCAAGGAGGGCAGCAGGATTATCTCAGAACTTCTTCTTGCCCCAAGCTCAAGTCTATGCGCAGAGAAACAATCCTGTTAGCAGGGGAACTAAGTTGGCCACCAGCAGCCAAAGGGTTACAACCAGGCTGGATGAGCAGGAGCATAAGTCTAAAATTTAAAAAAAAAAAAATTTACATTTAAAGACAAGATAAAATACCAAAGAGAACACTAAAAACCACCAAAGAGTTAAAACAAACTTCTTGACAAAACATTAACTGGTATTTAGTGAATTCAGCTTTTTATTTTCCTCAAAAAGAAAACTGACTCTCATCTTTCTGCATTACAACATGAACATTATCAATAGGAAATTATACAAGTGAGAACTCACTTTCCACCAAGGTGATAATTTTTAAGATTGTAATAACAATATGGCCTTCAAAACGCAGGTCAGATTTCCTGATAAATTCCCAGGCTAAAGCTAGATCTCTGGGATGATTACCAGAAGGAGATGTGAAATGAAAGCGTTATGTTTCAGACACATTTCTCCTGTGTTAGTCACTGTTCTGCACGACTGCACAGCAACACACAGGGCACCTTTCCTATTTCCTTTGCCTCCTACACCTAGGATCTTAAAATAGCCATAGCCTTCCTCTCCTGTTCCTGACAGTCAGAACTGACACAAAGCTTTGACGTTTTCAGATATTTAATACCGAAGTTTGACCTCAGCAAAAAAGGCAACCTACCAATGGGTGCAGCTCTTGTTAAGTTAGAAGCTGGAGGATCCCTCTCTGGGGGACAGGACTCACAGAAGTCTGAACAGGCTGGGCAAATCAGATTGCCAACGTGTATCCAGCCATTCATCTGAATGCTCACAGTCAACACCTGGCCTGAGCGGCTGCACAAGTACGCAGTGTCCTTGACCCACACGTGCAGCCCTTGTGGAGAACAAGAAACCTTCAAATAAAAGAGTCAAGTCTGTATTATGATTTATTGCAGCATATGTCACAGTTGAGACAGCCACAATACACAGAATATCGTCACACAGTTACAGAAGGCTTCAACCCATTCAGAGTAACACCAGACCACTTCAGAAGGCTTCAGTGTCTGCCCTTCTTGTTCTTTAGCCCAGCCTTTTATACCCTCATGTTGATGCACTGCACCTGTGTGCCCTCTGCTCCCTTTGGTTGTTGATCAGTGCCCCTGGGCACTCCATGGCTCATTGCTGTCAATGCTGCTCACCTGCTTCTCACAGCTGAGCCCATTGGGGATGAGGCTCAGTGAGGCAGCCCCACTCCCAATGACCACAAACTGTGCACCTACAGTGATTTATCAGAGGCACAGATTAACTGCAAGATTTTTAATGCAATCTGGGCAACTACAAGATTCAGGAATGCTTCTTCAAAGCACTGACTATACTCTTTTTGTGCAATTATGCAGATCATCAGCTGAGAATGAGTAAAACTTGGCTTCTGCTAATGACCACTTTTGCAGAGTTGTGCAGTTACTGAACGTGACACCTTTAGTGAGATTGTCCCAGAGAAAATGAGAAGTGACATGTGCACAGTGCTTTCCACCTCTGAAAAATCAGAGTGACTAATTAATATTAAGCTTCAACAACAGAACATTTCATGGAAGTATTGCTTCTTAGCTGAGGATGAAGTGCCACGGGGTAAGACAGATGATGTCCCTAGTGAGACTGGAAGCCATACCAGCAGTCACACACTTAACTATTTAAATTACAGGCTTATGGTTGGAAGATTTTTTTTCAAAGTGTGTTATATGATCCACAGATTACAATGCAAGTGAAAAATTCTAACAGTCACAACCAACATTTTAAGCCCGACTTTTCCCTTTAGGGTTTTTAAAAAAGAAAACCCACTAAAAATCCAACAAATACTTACTTGATAACATCCACTACCCCAGTCAGGGTAACTGAGTTTCCTCCTGCACTGTTCCATAACAAAAGCAGATTTCTGAATAAGACATACAGAGTTTGGTCCGTATTTCTCTGCACCATAGTTTTTGGTAGGATCTAAGGTAGAAGGAATACACTGAATTACAAGTTAACCAGAGGAACAGAAAGCCCACATCAATTTAAAAGGCTATCTAATCAATGTCCCCACATGCAATTCAAGGTTTACTTTGGGAAAATTTCAGACCCTGAATTATTATCTATTTGGGAATTATACAGTCTTGAAAATAACGTGGGAAGGAACGCAAGATTTAAGAAACAAACAAAATAATCAACTAACCACAAAAAAACCCCCACAATGAGTAAGCATTTCAATCAGAAAGTGGTTATGTTTACCCTCAGGGAATGCCAGCTGTGATTGCTGGTTTGAGGGCAGAGGGTGTTTGTTTTTGAGACAACTGCACAGACAGGTAATATCCTACAGCATTCTGGAGCTCTGCAATACTGACCATGCATGCACTACACTAGGAGACAAGCCCATGCTCTGGTAACTCACAAAGACCCTGGCCTTGAACAAAATACCCACAAAGGTGAAAAGTGCAATCACATTTCAGAGCCTCAATAAACAACACTCTCTCCCACCCCCATTCTTTGTCCTGTATTTGGGTCCTTTGGGGTAGGTATCTGTTCACTCCTTATGCAATTCCTGCATTAGATATGTGAGTTTGCCTCAGGTGTACACAATAGCTGTGCTATGCTTCTTAGCACAGCACAGTGTTGACAAAGCTGGTGGTGTGAAACCTCATGAGTGAAAAAATTCACATGCAATTAGTCTGAACATGCAGCGAGTCCATTCCAAGTGAACAAATGCAATCTCTGCAAAACCACCCTGAAGTCCTGAATACTGACCTGGCTGGTTTTCAATTATTCTACAGTCTGAACTGCGTTGAAATTCACCACTTAAATGCCAGCTGAATTCCTGACTAAAGGGACAATAGTCAGCAATTTCTACTGAGCCACCATAGTAAGGCAGTTCTTCTGCTGGTACTCCATTAAGATTGTCAAAGTACTGCAAAGCAAAATACAGTAGTGAAGCAGTTTGTGCAAAGGCAAGAGTACAGCTGTTTTTTTAAATAGACCAAAGCACTACAGTTGCAAGAACATCACTGTTACTACTCAGGAATGCTATTAACAGCATCTTACAATACCCATGAACCAGATGAGCCAGAAGTATTTAAGAATACATAAATAATGCAGAGATTCACATCTGCATGCATCCAGCTTCTGTCCCTGATTCCCCTCTGTAATAATTACATTCTTTGGAATGTAAACAGAACAGATTTCTTAGTGTGCAGTGACAAAAGGAAGAAGACTGGGGGAAGAAATCCCTCAAACAAGATATTTTGGGGGATTTCTGTTACATGGCAACATTTCTATCTGGTATTTGGCTAGATAGCAAAGCAACATAATTTTCTTTTATTAAGATCACAAGGGGTTTTTATCAGTCTTCCAACTCCTTGTAATGAACTAGGTAGACATTTTTCACAGTATCTACTGTCATCTGATAGTTCAGAAGAAAAAAACCAGAAACAAACACAATCATCAGGCAGCAAAGCTCAACAATGAAACGCTTCATTATTCAGTTATTTGTAAAGTAGGATCCATTATACCTGATATTCCTGAGGTAACTGCTTTGGAAACTTCTGCAAGTTGCACACTGCTACTGCTCTTTGGTCCTGTCTGCAGGTTAACTGCAAAGGATTACTCCTCAAAGTGTTGCAGTATGGACTGATTAATTGCTTCCTCAAAAACAAAAAGCAAGCCAACAAAACCAGAATAAAAATCACATCAGATCAATTAAACTGCTTTACAAAAGCAGCCTGCCAAGACTGTTCCCATTCTCCCCTAGACTCAGTCAATCACACAAAGAAGCACTGACCTCTTCTCTGGAGGCTTGTTTTTCTTATTTGTCTGGTTTTGACCTTTCTCATTTAAAGAATATCAAGCCATCAAACAAAGTTACAATGCATTCAGCTATTTAGTTTTAATGACACAGCTTTGTAAATTTTAAAGAACAAAAAATATAAGCAAAACAGGCCCACTATGCAGCTGTGTCCTAGAAAGGTTTGAGGATTGTAAAGAACAAACAAGGTTGTAAGGAACAAACATGGCAGGCTGTGTTGTGAAGATGGCTATCATCTCCTTCAGTTGCTTTAAGTCCAGCAAAATGACACAGGCAGCATTCCCAATTAAAAGGGACAAAATAAGAAGGCAAACACTTTTAGAGTAAGTCCTACCTGTCCTCTCTAAAGTGCAGCCTTCTCACGTGTAAATGCATTCTACACCATTAGCCTCTGTATTTACTGTAATTGGGTGGGATGCAGGGCAGCATTCCTTTTTGATCTCTACCAACTTCTACCTCTTTTTACCGAGTTACATTTGAAGGACAAATGTAAACAAGCATCAGGGTTTCCGCTTGATTTTTAATTTTTTTTTTTTTAAGACTGTATTCTTACTTTTGTCTCTTCTGGTCAATCCAGAATTTGCAGCTCTTCATTACAAAGTCACAGCCTTTATTGCGTCCCCAGTCTAATTTCTCTGCCATGCTGTAATTTGCTTTATACCATCTGTAAAGGTATTTTGAAATGAGAATATAGTTACTTCAAAAATTACTGTTCTGATTAATAAAACAGCAGTTCAAAGAATTTCATATTATGCCTTAAGGTTTTCAAATTAAGAAAAAGGGAAACTGCATCCCCTTCTGCCTATAGGAAAATACATTATGACTTCACTATTTTTCGAGTCACAATGAACTAGAAGAAAACTTTGTGACCTGCAAAGGAACAATGCATATGGAAAGATGAAACCTGAGTCAATTTCTGCTTTCTATCTGCAAGAAGAACTGAAAAAAATAATCAATATGTATTGCTGCAATTGAAAGAAGACTTACATTAAGAGAAAAAGTAAATGCTACAAACAGCACTTTGGATTGCAATACCTGGCTTTTTAAGGCTAGATTAAAAATGGGTTTTGAAACACGTGAAGAAAAAGTAACATACAAGTTATGATTCCTTGTCTAATTTAAAGCTAATTATACTAATCACCTACTCTGCTGCAGAGGAATAAGCACAAGTGCATCAATTTGAAATAAAATCAAGTACAATGCAAACCAAGCACAAATGAACTAAAACCCACCCTCCCATTCTCAATTCTTACCCGGTGTCTTCCATTAATGCTAAGGTGATCCTGGAAAAGACTCGATTCTGAGTGTGGGATCCAGTCATTGCTTCATTCTGAAAGTTACCAGTTATGATTGGTAAGCCACTCAAAATCATTATTGTAAGAAAATACTTCTTAGGGAAAAGCATTTTATTTCTGTTCTCTTTTTACTATTGACAATCAAATCCCATACTCTTTCATAAAAAGACTGTCCTGAAGCATTTCCCTTTTTGTTTACCTCACTGCATAAAACAATGACTAGATAACGTAACTCTGCCAAAAATATCACACAGTGCTAAGTTGCAAACAAAAATGAGCTTAAATGCCAAGAGGGAAATAAGTGTTTCCTTGGTCAGGCAAGGTTCTGGAGGAGCCAGAGCAAAAGCTAAAGCCAGAGCATGTGAAAAAAGATGAAGTCAAGGTAATAAATAGAATGATGAGGTATTTATGAGACAGAGGGCAACAAAACTCAACTGACTAAAAGGAATAACCCCTTTGCCCTGAAACAGGAGCAAACCTTCTCAAAAGGGTAAATGGCAGACAGGAGTAAGAGACATTTAGCTTTTCAGTAACACTTGATCTCATACTTTGATATTTAGCAAGAAGGCTAAAAGACAGATGTATCTAGAAATTGGACCTCTAAATATTTAAGTATCGAGTACTATTTGTGATGTATTTCAATGAGGTTTGATACTCCTGCATTTTCAAGGCTCCAGTAGGTACCACAATAAACCTAAAAATCAAGGCACAGGGAGCAGACATTTCCATGTTCCCTTCCATTCCTAGTATCAGCAGATACCTCCAACAATCTCTTCTCCCAGTGATTGAGTTCAGTACCCATGCCACCTTGATTTTCAAGCTCCATTCCCTCTAGAATTGGACAATTAAAATGTTTTCGGGCTTCTTCCTAGAAAGAAAACATTTCAACACAACTCTCAAAATACTGAGATGGATACCCACATACAGTCCTAGTGGTCTAGAATTACCTATTAAAAGTATTTCAGCATTTCTTTTTCTACTCTTTTATTTTCTACTCAGAGGCTGACTAAGCAAGCACCCCAACAGCAAGGCTATCATACTATCTACTCATCTCCTTGAAATAAATGAGGAAAACCAGGGAAAATTAATCCATGTTTGCTCTATATACTGTCTTAGATTTAAAACAAAAAGATTATTTGTGGCCAAATGCGATTAACACTATGACTTATTTCCAAATCCAATTTGTTAACACTTGAGCATATGTTCTGTTGAGGGCACAAAGAGAGAGTCTGATGTGTGGGAAGCAAGAAAGATTTCCAAAAATCCTTGAGGAATTTCTTTTTAAACATGACAAAATATTAATATTAAAGGAGCGGGAGGTGTCTTAAGTCTGTAGGAAAACACCTAAAGACTAGGATTAAGGAATTTCTTCAACATCTATTTTGCTTAACCTTTTATAATTTACCTTCCAGTCATTTCATTCCCCTTCATTTTCTCTTACTATGTCAATTTATTTATTTCATACTGTCTCTCACTCATTTTCTACTTTACTTTAGCTACACCCTCTCAATTACACAATGTTAATGGCACGGGCTTTTTGGGCCATGCTTTCAGGGAAGAGCATTCTTCAAGAATAAGAAATATTTATGACTCCAGAATGTCCTGGCAACCTTGGCATACAAAGCTTGAAAGGTAATGCACACTTACGATGACCCGAGGTGTCACCAGAAGATGAACAGCATGGCGCAGCATTTTGCCACCACGTACGTCCCACAGCCTCACTGCTTTATGAACAACTTTATTGCTCCACTGATACAAACCTAGGCTGCAAGGAGAAGGTTTGGTTACAAATCCTTCCCACAAAGACATGTTACTGTGCAAAGATCTATCTCCATAAGAAACAGAATCGTGGATAATCTCTATACTCCCTCATGCTTTCTGAATTTAAAAATTTCATTATACGGCATTTCTCCTTTTTAAGATGTGTTTATTAGACACACAACTGATTTAACAAGGCAAAGGAAGATTAGTTATAGACTCAAGGCACATTTTCTACAGTTACCAAAAATGTAAGAAATTAAATAAAACCCCTCAGTATTGCTATTGTAACAAAAAGCTCTCTACCCTTCCATCTCCTAGAATAATATCTACAATACCAACTAAAAAATGAAAAAAAGAATGCAAACTGCTAATTCTGTAACAAATCAGAAAATTCACATAGCAGATTTCACACATCATCCGTTATGCAGAACCATATATCTTAAAAATGAACTGCACTGACATTAGGCAGCATGGATAATTGTAAGGCTTAACTTCCAGCCTTCTGATAAATAAAATCCTGTCCTAGTTTATAGTACATGTGGATATTTTAAGTCCTTAATAACAATGTAAAGAAAGACTAGAGAGTCACCACACACCACTGTTTGAACATTACAAAGGAAAGGCACTCTAATAATGGAATGAAGTTGGGTTTTTAACAGGGAAGAATACATCCTGAAAAAGCAACATGAAAACATCCTTCACTGAGAGTACCAAGAGGTCCAAAAAAATACCTTTCATTAAAAGGAGGAAGTCCATCTGCATATCTTGGTGTCAAAGGTTTTCCATCATCATCACGATAAAATGCAAACAGTCCAGCAGAGAAACCCTTCAAGTCAAAAAACAAGCACATGGAAACCTTTGGTAAGACATTCATATACAAAGTCAAACACCATGAAAGAGTCCCCACACCCACCAGAGACACCCTGGAAGTACAACACTCCAAGGCAATTAACACAGATTGAAGGAGGCAAAGCAAGAGCTTCTCTCCACCAAACATCCTTCTCTGGGCAACAAGCTGGAGGCACGTGAGCAAGCAGGCACTCATTTCAGGGCAGCATTTTACCAACCCTTACCAATGCATGGATTATCTCATGTTTCACTGTAGACAACATGCCAACAAATTCCTGAGCTTGCGTTGAAATCATGTTTGGACACAAGTTAGCATATCCTGCTATTGGCCTGGAAGAGAGTTTTAAAGTTAAATGGTTTTTGGAAAAATACTACAAAATTCAAATAATTATTCATTTGAAGCAGCAGAAGACTTAAAGAAGATACAGACTAATGTAAAAATATGTCCTTCCCAATAATTTATAAAAATCTGTTAACAACACAATGACTAGTTTACTGTTGGTATGGGGAGTGGTGGGATGGGGTCAATCCATGTCTATATTCAGTACTATGCATAGGAGTCAGTGACAAGGGACCTGAATTTTAGGTAAGATCCTAGGGGAGGTACAAAGACTGTGACAGTAACTACAACTGAATGGAAACAAAATATAAGTAGGAACTTGCATTCTTTAAGTGTGTGAAATCATTACATTCACCTTAAGAGAAACAGGATCTTAAGAAAAAGTTTAGGCATTAACAGTGGAAGATCAGCTCTGAGTCCTGTGCCTCAACTCTGCAAGTTAAGCACTATTTGATGGGTTTGTGATTTTACATAAATGTAGTGCTTGTCCATGATGACTCCTCCTTTGTTATACAACAAAGGCAAACACAATCAAATTCCACATTCAAACAATCAACAAACTTGAAAGCCTAATTAAAAAGAGAGTTTGCAGCAGAGGGAATACTTGCCTGTCCATTTCAGCTTCCAGCTGGCAGTAGGCTGCATATGCAATGATATTTTCATGGCCACACCTGTCAGTAGTGAGAGCACTAACGTAGAGCACAAAGTCAGCATCTCGAACCCCCTCCTGCTCGGGGGAGCCCGTGGGCCTGCGGTGCCAGTCGCTGTCATTGTACACCCTGCATTGCTGTACAGTGTGCAAAGGCAACTATTAAAACACTTCACTTATCACCAACATTTTGCATGACACAATTCAATTAGCTTGAAGCCAAGAATAAATCCTAATAGACAGCAGAAATAAGACACCCTGTGAAGAGCAGCAAACAAAACCAGAGCCAAGGAATAACTTTCAAATGACTAACTCTTATCATTTATTAGACACAAATGAAGGTGGCAGCTTTAAAGAAACAAACAAACAAAAAGGCCTGTCAAGCTTCCCAGGATTAGCACCCCGCATTTCTTATAAATTAAAAAAAAATCTTGGCTCACAAAATTAGTATACATAAGTAGTAACAGCATTTCTCATGTAATCTTTTTTTTTTAATGATACACTTGAAACTTCCAAGTCAAAGAAAGAAAACCAGAAATCTACTGATCACATACTGTAGTTGAATCAAAAACAAGTCTGAAGCATTTCTTGCCCCATGCTCCTGAGTCAGTGGATAAACTCTTCAAAAAAGGTCTTAAAAAATCAACTATTAACTCTGTGAAATTCCAACTCATTGACCAAGGTGAATAACAAAGTGACTAATGGCAATTTAACAAGCTCCAAATCTCATCCTCTCCTTGCAGGCCATCAGAACACAGGCTCAAAAGACAGTAACAAGTTCCTGTTTTTTTTTTTTAATTTGAGTTTGAATTCAACAACATAAACTACAGAAACTCACACTAATTTAAGTTTTTCTATTCTTTCATTCAGACTTACTGATGTCCAGCAAACAGGTCACTTATGCACAATGACCAATATTCACTTTCTCATAAATGACCATAAACAGTAATATTTCAAAGATTAGGAAACACTTGGACAGCTGAGCTTACCTGGAGGTGTTTCTCAGGAACTATAACCGGCCCACACCTTGTATGGTCTGCACAGGCTTTTTGGCAATATCTGTGAGGGTCAGCTTTCCTCCTTAAATATTGGTTTGTCACACATTGCCTTCAATGAAACATGAGACAGTCAAGGCTTTTATTTTTAAAAGAGAACTACAGAATAGTCTTACAGAACTCTGTTGGTACTTGATAGAACTTGAACAGTGAAAATTGTTAATTACCTTACCAAGGAAGACATAATGCTTCCAGTTGTTAATGGAGCATCCACAGGCTCAAAGAGAGATTAGAACCAGGCTCATAAATGGGGGTACACATAAAAGAAAACTGGCAGCATGTGTAGCTTTGAATATCTACAATTTCAATATTTCAATTGCTACAACAAATGCAGGTGTTGTTTGTGGAAGACTGGCAGATTTGTAAAAGAGCATCTGCCACTGCCACTGGATCAGATGGGTCACTGATCTGATTCAGCAGGGCATTTCCTACACTCTAATCTTCTTTTAAAGGCTATGCAGCACAGCGTTAAATATCAAATATAGCAAGTGATTTTCATCAGACTTTCACAAACCTGCTTAGCAATATAGCACCGGCAGATTTGCGCACTTGAAATGTTTTCTCCAAGTAAGATATAGCTTGTGGGAAGAGTTTGTTCTGAAAAGAGCAAAAATCAGAGTCACCCAGTAGCAGTGCAGACACACCTCACCCCAAAGGCATTAACCACCAAGTTACATAAAACTTACTAGATATTCTGGTATAGCACAATAGGGGAAAGCCTGACACTCTGAGAAGTTCAATTATTACGAACTTTGTTTCAGTATTTCCATATGTTGTTATTGGAATGAGAAAATGGGAAGGAAAACAGTATTAATTAGAATGTACAGCTTCAAAGAGGCTCTTAAAAACTATATACACATTTCTCACTAATACATTTGTACCTTGGGATATAGCAAACACCATGCAGCAGAACTCTGGAATTATTTGTTATGGAGGTATAATCTATACACAAAGCTTTGGTTTCCTGGACTAGGGGAATACTAAATTGCTGGCATTCAAGGTTTTAGTTAAACCGGCCTTAAACCTAATTTCATCTATATTACATACAAACACAAAGGGGAAGCAAATAACATACCTTTATAAGGTGTCTTTTCTCAGGCAGCAAACTATATTTAAAAAACAAAACAAAGGAGCTTTAGTTCACAAGGTTTCCATTCTCAGCCATAGGGGAAAAAAAAAAAATCTGCCACACCATTATACTCACTCCTCAACGCTTCTGTCATACACAATCTTAATTCTTAGCTGTTGATCCACGTTTCTCTTCGAGACGTGATTTTCCTTTAGAGGAACTTGATAGACGACCTGGCCGGGAGAGGCACGAGGCGGGATGAGGCAGCTCACCCGGGCTGACTCCGCGCCCCGCGGCCCGGCCTCGGCTCCCTCTCGCCGGCAGCACCGCTCCGTGCCGGCCCCCTCCAGCCCTTCCCGACCCTTCCCTCGCCGCAATGGGATGCTCCGCGCCCGCCCGCCTTCCTTAGCGCCCACAGCCGGAGCTGCGGGGCCAGACCTGGCACAGCCCGGCCCGGAAAAGCCGAGAAGGGACGGATCCAACAGCGGGAACAGCCAACAAGGGAGCCCCTGCCCCCCAACACCCCTCGCGGCCGCCTGAAGACCCTCGGCCATCCCACCTGGTCGCTGGTGGGTACGCGATGGTGACAGGAGGAGGAGGCGGAGGTGCAGAGCGGCAGCGGCAGGAGCAGCAGGAGCCCGGCGGTGAAGGCCGCGAGCGGCGGGCGGCAGCAGCGGGTAGACCAGGCGCGCCCGCCGCCCGGCTCGGCGGCCATCTTGGAGTGCCCCTCTGCCGCGTCGCCATGGCGGCAGCGCCGGGGGAGCGGCCTCCGCCAATGGGCGGGCGGGGCGGGAGAAGCGGGCGCTTCTGATTGGACGCGGCGCCGCGAGAGGCGGGGCCAGGAGCTGAGGGGAGGTGGCGGGGGACGCGGGCGGTGCAAGGCCGGAGTCGCAGGAGCGGGAGGGGGGACAGGAGCCCCCTGAGGGCCACCGCTAAACCATGCCCCCAGCGCCACATCCACACGGCTTTTGAATGCTTCCACCGCCTTCCCGGGCAGCCCATTCCGATGCTCCACCACCCTTTCTGTGAAGGAATTTTTACCAATGCTCTACTAAAACCCTTGAGGCCGTTTCTTATCCTGTCGCTCGTAAGCTGGGAGAAGAACCTGCCCCCACTGGCTGAAACCTCCTGTCAGGGCGCTATGAGGGCGATAAGGTCCACCCCGAGCCTCCTTTTCTCCAGGGTGAGCCTCCCCAGCTCTGTTCCCTTCTCTGGACACACTCCAGCACCTAAATCACTTTATTGTCTTTATTGCCTTTATTAATGGGCCCAAAAATAAGCACAGAGCTTAAGATGCTTCATCATTGCCCAGCACAAGGGATAGTCACGGCCCTGGTCCTATGGCCACACTATTGCTGATACAAGCCAGGATGGCACTGGTCTTCTCAGCCATCTGGGCATGGGCTGGTTCATAGCCAGCCATCTGTCAAACAGCACACCCAGTTCCTTTTGTGACTGGGATTTTATTAATCACACACAACACAGGCTTTTCCCAGCTTCTCAGTCCACAAACACTGCACAACAGAGTATCCCCCAGTGTCTAATATGGAAATGACTGAAGAAACTTCTACCACCAGCGATGAAAGTTATCTGGGTTTTTGAGGTGCTTTATCTTGCAGCTCCTGCTGCTTTCCAAGATGGGCCACACAAATGGAAAGTGGTGTGTGTTGGCTCTCCAAGCTGCTTGGTGGGAGAAGCCAGTGGATGCCTGGTGCTTTCAGCTAAACCGAGTTGCTCTGGCTCCTGCAGTGTTTCCATGACACAGAAGAATACCCAAAAAAGCAGAGAAAGATTAAAGGAATCCTCACCTTTTCACAGGGAACAAAATCTATTAAAGTGGGAGTGGGTAACACTCTGCTTTGCTTTAAATGGGAATTTATGCAGGACAGTTATTCATCTGAAGTGCTGCATGGGCAGCACGCTATGAAAAGCAGAAATTTTTTATATTGCAAACTTCAGATACTGTAAACCCTTTTCCTCTTTGCAGGCAATGAGAACATCATGACAAAGTTTTTAGACATCATGGCAGCTATTTGCAGCACAGGTCTTTTTTTGACTAAGGCAGAATAATTTCACCTGGAATTTGTACGCACAAGTCGTCACTAAGACAACACAAGAAAACCATTTTGTCTTTGAAGTCTTTATTGCATTACTGTAACAAATTCAAATATGAAGCAACACTTTTAAGTGAAATGTGTCCCTCTTGCAGCTCAGCAATACAATACAGCTTTTTAAAACTACTTTTCTTAATCTGCCTATATGGCTTTAGATTGGCAGTTTTAAGGTTAGGATGTGATTAAAAGTACTACTTGCAAAGGTGCTATTACTTTCAGTTTTTAGAGAACTTTAAAAATGACTCTGCAAATTGGTGATTCTACAAAATGGTTAATGCTTCAGTATTGAAAAGAATAAAATTTAAAGTCTCTCCTTCCAGTCTTGAAAATTGCAAAAGCAATTACTTTGTGGAAGCAAAGTACTTTAGCAGTTAGTAGCAAAGCAATTACTCCTGGAAGTAACAGGAGGGAACTACAGAGAATTCCCCTAAGAAATGGGTATGAATATAGTAATCTATACTAAGGAATAAGCAAAGTATGCTAAGGTAACAGACAAGTAGGTAAAGGGGCTGAAATAATAAATGCAAAGTGCATGTTCATTCTTTTTCTTCCAGACTTTTAGCACCAAGGCTGAGTGGATACCTAAGGATGACTGAAAACTCTGCTGGTGGGCGAGGTAATCAGAATCACAGCACTGCTTTGGTTGGAAAAGATCTTTCAGATTCCCTTAGCACAGAACATTTTAAATAAATCCTCACAAGAAGGTGCTTTATGGTGACTACTGGAAACAGGAACATGCAGAGGTGCTCTGACCTACCCTACACCTCTTACTGCTGGACACAGGTAAGGCAGACCACCTTCCTCCTCTACCACTCCCTTCTGCCTTGTGTAGAAAGAAGTTAAAGTTGTTCTCACAGTTCTTGCCGACATCTCTGCATAACTGAACTTGAAATGTGAGTACTGAAATAGCATGCTCTAAAATATTTGCTTATGTTAGTCCTTCTGTTGATAATTTGAAGACATATTTCAACACATGGATAGATCAATAAAGAAGAAACCTAGATGTAAAAAGAATTAAAAAGTGCTCTGTAAATTCTTAAATGTAAAAGGCACTAAAATTTTCTGGACTATTAAGATCATTCTACTATTTGAAAGTAATAAGGTATTGTGGATATGCCTGAATGTCATTAAATATGACGAACATTGTTGGATTAGACACGTTATCAACCACACTGTTGTAGCGGTCAGTAGGATCTGCTTGGCTCTTTGGTGGTGGAGTCTTTAGCCCTGCTGTCCCAACACAGTACTGCCCAGTCAGGACCCGAGCCAAGTACATGTGTTTTCTGCCATTCACATGTCGAACGGAATAAATATCCTGAGCAGAGTAACTTGCATTGACAGCAAAGTAGGTTCCGTCTCCAATGACTGCAGCTGTTAGGAAAAACAACATTTTCAAATACAGTTAGTGTTCTTATTCTCCTCAGAATCTCTAAAACTCCTTTTTTGTTTTTAACTCTGCAGAATCTATAAATGTGGTTAGAGTTCAAACACGAAATTCTAGTACTAATCCTGTGTATCAGAATCAAATATGAATCCACATAGATAGCAGATACGTATCAACACCCAGGTTTTGACTTCTCTTTCCTATGGAGAAAAGGGCTCCTCTGTTTAACATAGTTTAGCCTGCAATCCATCAAATTGCAATTCTTCAGAGGCTTTTGGACTTATGACGATGTAAGTGTTATTACAGTTTTCTAGTCACACTTCTCAGCAAGTCAGAGAAATCACATGTCTTTGTTCAAGACAGATTTCTTTTTTCTGACATTGGTAAAAAGCTGTTCAGGCCAAAGAGGTCCTTCCTATCTGGCTGCCCTGATCTTTGGATACTTTTGCTTGGCTACCCAGCCTGACAGAAGGCAAGTGTGCCTTCCCAATCATTAATCACAGCTGAGATGAAAAGGTGGATGTTAATACCCACAAGCAGAGAGAGGACATGGGGATCTAGGGCTCTTGCTTCCTGAGTAAATCCAACCTCCTGACACTACCAAAGAGCAGGAAAGCAAAACTACATCTCCTCTGATCATGTTTTAAAAAGAAGTGGTGGCTGCCATTCCTACCTGTGCACAACCAGCATATATTTTGTGTATGCTGGGCTTCATTTATTGAAGAAAATCTCAGAGTTAGTACCTCCAGAGGATCCAGACAGAGAAAGGTCTTTGGATCCAGACCACACTGAAGTATCAACTAGATCTGAGTTAAGCTGCCCAGCTCTCTCAATATCAAATCAGCCCTAGGCATGTACAACTCTGTCTTAAGGAAGAAAACATTAAGAACAAAAATTAAGGATTTCTGAAGTGAGGCTACATGGCCACTAAAATCAACGAGCACCTCAGTTCAGTCCATGTTCCACTTCTTTGGATCCTGTCCTTCATCTTTGATTGCTGCCAAATAATACACGTAACAAGACTGTACTAGAGGAAGTGGACAGAACAAGCTTTTACCTACTGCAGAATATCTTTATGTTAAATATTTAAGTTGTCTCTAACAACTGTTAAAGGCTAAGAATTAACTAATGGATCTCACAGATTTTGTAAGCATAAAATTGGTACAGATGTGGGATCTTACACTGTCCTAATCTGTGGAGGCAACAGGAGAAGGATTTGCACTTCTACTTTGCTACCTGTCTTTGTCTAAGAGGAGAGGAGATACCACCAGCTAGCAGCTGTTACATCAGCTAAGGATGTTGAATAGTGTTTCTTGTTCCTTTCTCTAGGTAAATGATACAAACCAATTCCCAGAAGCTGCCCAGGCTTCATTTCAGAGCAGGGGAACTCTTTTTGATATCCTTTACCTGGTGGCAGCCAGCAACAAGTGATTAACTGAACAGAATAATTCCTCTGTCCATACAGATTAATCTCAGGAGTTGTTTATTATTGTGTTCTCTAATTTCATTCAGCTTTCATGTTGTGCTGACAGCACTATAATGCTGACACCCTGCAGCTCTCATACATGCCTAGGAAATTAACTGATTTGGATAATGACTCACCATTCTTTCCAGCAAATCCACGATTAAATCCATAGAAGTTAATCAAACTCAATGAAGATGCAGCTGTCCCATGAAATAGCAACCTCTCATTATTTTGATTTTTGTTCTTTTCACAGATAGATTTTTTTTTTAGTTGGTATGTCTGCCAGAGGATGCGATTTTGTATTCTTTCAATCTGCAAAATTACAAAATTAACTATATTTATATGAGGGAAAAATGGGGTAGGGATGAATATTTATCATGGCAGAAAAGCATTAAAATGAAATCAAACTAAAAGAATTACAGCAATTTTCACTATATCCTGGTAGCATGAGGTTTGGGTAGAGGAACTATGTAGGCATCCTGAAAAAATCACAAACCAAAGCAGTTCATAAGAGAGTTTCAAGCTCAGTAATTTTGGGTATACATTTGTCTTGCTAAGTGTACCAGGTACCCAGCAGTTGTGGTAGCTGTGCACTGCCATTTCTAGCCACAGGCTGCTGTACCACTGCTAGAGGCAATGATATAAGATGCCTTCTATACATCCTAATCATCTTTACTGATTATTTTCTCACTAAAGGACAGAGTGTAGCAATAGCATTAGGTTAAGTTTCTCTTCTAGATCTAAGCTTGCAA